CTGAGTGTAAGTGTCCCCACACATGGAAGGCATGTAAGGGGGAAGATCTCTGAACAAGGAAAGGATGAGGGTAGGAAAATGGATTGAACAGAAAGAAACCACAATTCCTAGAGTAGGTCAGGGTCAGCAAATTCATTTGTTTCATCTTCTTTCAGAAAAAAGAGCTTTCAGTATGGCTTAAGCAAGTAGAACACAGGCTTCCTGAGAGCAGACACCATGCCAGTTCTATCCACCAGGGCCTAGAACGGCTCTCTGCCCTTGGTGAGTGTGCAGTTAATACTTGTTCTCTCAACTAATACCTGAATATACTTAGGTGATTTGCTTTAGTATTAACCACGAGACATTCCTGGAGCTTTGTGTAGGGAAGGAACAGGGATTCTAAGGAGAAGGAGCTTTAATACTGGACAAGGATGGCACTATTTACATACTATTTACCTAAATATGCAAATTGGTGACGTGATCATGGAGATTCTTTCATAAGGAAATTGATCTGAAATAGGTCAGAGCAAAGTCCAATATCTATTCTAGGCCAGTTTCTGTTAGATATTATACCATGAAGCCATTCCACCAAGATTCCCTTTAATCATTTTCCTTCTGGAAAGAGAAATCCCACCATTGCTCAGAACCTATGGAGTATCAGCATCATGCTGGGCACACAGGGGTAGAGAAGTCACACTTCCCCAGTCAGCACCCCCCTCATGGTTTCCACATCACAGGACAGCCGCGAATAGCGCCCATACCTGAAAACATCATCATGTGCTGGAAGTTCCAGGGGATCTTCTGTTTTCGGCCCAGATTCAGGAGGAAGGAGAGGGGATATATGTTGCAGGCTCTGGCAATAAAAATTGCTAGCTGTAGATAAGCACAGGAAAACGTTGAGGAAAATATTGTTGCAATGAAGGTGTGAGTCCTTGAGCTTTAAATGTTATGGCCTTAAGCTTCTCTATACTATGATTCAGAAAATAGGGGTAAATATGTCAATACAAGACTGACAACTTGCTTCCAAAATTCATGTTTCAGTGTTCATTCTTTTCCAGAAATAATAGAGAATTTGGCCTCTCTTTGAATATATATTTGGTTTAAAATTGCTAACCCAATACCATTTCAATCACTGTAAAGTTTCTCATCACATTTTGGTTGCTGATGACTGACTCTAGGCTCAATTCTGCTGCCGAGTGTGAGGCAGAGACCGTTCAGAGGCTGTGGCAGTATCTTCTGAAGCAGCCACTTTAGAAGGATAAATGTACTTCTGTTCATGATTACCATCTTATTTCCTATCAGTTTATATTCCCTATATCTAGCAAGCTTCGCTTATTTTTTCTTTCAGTGGATTTAATTTTGAGAGGAATTGCCTGTCTAAATGTATCATAAAACTGCTGCTTTAAAGGCATTTTACTAAGATCCAAGCTTTAGAGGTTAAAATCTGTGAAAATATCACTGGTAGTCATCTCTCCTCTTATGTTGTTTTAGACTCATTCCCTAATGGTCCATCTATTCTAGTTTGCTCTCAGATGGGATGGAGGGAGATTCCTGCTAAGATCCAGGTTTTGGATGAAGTTAAGGAGTTCAGGCTGAATGCTTACTGAAGAAAGGACAGGAGGTGAATGCAGGTGCTCAGCTGGAATGGGGCAGACAGAGGTCGGCTCTCCAGGCAATTAATATCCTCTGCCTGTGATCTGAGGGGGTAACTGCCCATTTCCCAAGTGGCAAAAAGGACAACAGCTGCTGACTGTCCTTGGGGACATCCTTGGTAGCTCGGCATCCTTTCCAGCAGCCGTTCATTCCCATGGGACATGCCTCCGCCCAGGGCCTCGAGCTAGAAATGTCCTCTGCCTTGAAAGTGAGGTCTAGATCTTATCTGTTATTTTACTTCTAGGAAAAGGGCTAGTTTCTTGAAATAAACTTACATGTATTCAATGATTAAGATATTGAAAGCATATCGATGATGCTAATTTCATTTGATCTTTTACTCTGTGTACCCTGTTTTCAAAGTCCTTACTGTAAAAAAAGATTTTACTATCTTGCAATGAAAATATTTCTAAAGCTTAATAATTCTGGCTGTCTTTTGATATACTCTAATGCAGGTTAAATATATTTCTCTATGAAGAATGGATTGACATAATTTTAATGTGAATCATAATTTTAAACATATGTTGAATATTCAAAAAATGTCACTCTCCTTTAGTTTTCTCCCTTTACTTCCTTCAGTAATTCCCCAAATTCTTATCCTGAACCAGAAGCATTTATTAAAGGCCCCAATGTGTTAGAATGCTTTTCTTTCTAACCAGAAATTACATATTAACCTTGAATTTGAAACTTGCAGTAAACCTGAGGAAATTAACAATGGAATGGAATAATAGTAAAAGAGTTTGTTTCCTCCCCTCATTACCCCATGTTCTGTATTTCAAAGGATACAAAGGCTCCAAGTATAAAAAGAGCATTAAAGATATGATTCTGGAATGTGAAGAGTGCCAGGCCCATATAACAGAAGATGACATTCTCAGCCAAGAAGTTCATAAATTCAAACAACTGAAAATAAAACAGAAACCAAAAATCATTAATTATGTCTCAGGTTTGAGCCACCTTAATATCCTGTCAGGTGACTGGATGGTTCTCCTTTACCTAGGAAGGCCATCTCTTCAGCCTTGTGCTCAGCTTCTGGACAGGTACTGGGGCCACTCCCCATCCCGTCAGGGCCTCTGACTCAACCCAGTGACAGATACGGTAGCCATGTCAACATCCAATCGTCCTTTACAATGACAAGGCTGCCAGAGATGCCCCTGGGTAATATTAACCAGCATGATCCCCCATGGAACAATTCCCACTAGGATGACAGAATATTCCCTGTTACAGAAACTGGGGAACAACATGATTTGATTGAGGTGTCCTGCAGAAAATGATGCAATGATTATATAATCCCTCCTGCACACATCCTGTAACTGCACTTCAGTTCCCAGGCTCCAAAGAACTAATTCAAAAGAAGCTTTAGCTAAATTACCTTCCTCTGGCAGATGGAAGGGACAAACTTGGAAACCTTGGAAACTTGTCATAAGGATGAATGTCGATTGTATTTCAACATTAGAATGATCAGTATATATCAAAGCCCAGACAATGAAACTCATTAAAATTGACTGATGTAGGTATATCCATTAAATGTCTACAATTTCTAACTGGTAAGAAGAGAATGATTAATCCCCGGGATCAGTTTATGCAGGAAGAACACAATAGATACATCAAATTCAGTCAGAGGAATGGAGTAATAACAGGCTATGCTGAGGGACGCTCCCAAGAGCTATTCTTAGCCTATTAACCAAACAATTTAAGTTGAGCATGAAAAACATTCTCCAACTTCCAGATTGGAAGTAAAAGGGAAATGCACCCAGAGGCTACAAGAAGGGCAGATTTGGAAGAGACTTTGGTTTATGTTTCAGACTTTTCATTTGGAAGTTTCTGAAACTTCATTCTTAGGTCTACATAAATCATCATGTTAGGTAAACGTCTCTGGAGGCATTTCTCTCGCTTTTTTAAGGATTTATTATTTTTTCATGTAATAATGTATTTACAGCCCCACAAAAAATGCCCAATACCTGTTTACTGAGAGTTGCCAGAAAGAAAAGCAGACTCTTGTCAGAAACATTATTTAAAACCAGTAGTAGCAAAAAAGGATTAAAAAGACACAACTCCTTTGGCACAAGATGGTCTTTCTGCAGTGGCAGCGATCATCCTCTACCCTGAGGGCTAGTTTTACATGCTAGGCCAGTTCATCTGAACAAATACTGCCATCCAAATATCCACAAAACACTTGAAAACATGGGGAAAATACAGGTAATGGGGAATACTTTTCTACCTCGTTGTATCTTTGCTTTTTCAAAAAGTTAGGTTTGGCTACTGTCTTAATAACTTGCTTTGGCTGCCATAACAAAATACTATAAAATACTATAGGTTGCCTTAACAAAATACTACAGATGGCCGAAACAAAAGAAACCCTCATAGTTTTGGAGGTTGAGAAGTCCAAGATCAAGGTACTGGTAGATTAAGGTCTGGAGAAGACCCTCTTCCTGGTTTGCAAACAGCAGCTGACTTGCTGTATCCTCACAAGGCAGAGAGGGAGGTTTTCTCTCTCGTGTCTCCTCTTATAAAGGTGCCACTTTCATGACCTAATTAACTTCCCAAAGCCCCACATCCAAATACCATCACCCTGGGGGTTAGGACTTCAATACAGGAATTTTGGGGGTGGTGCACATTCAGTCCATAGCAGCTGTCCAGTTTTTAACATTAATAAACACATATCAAGGTTAAACTCATAGGACTTCTTCTCCTATCCCAATCCCAAGAGTATTTTCCTCTAGAGGGGGTCTTTGCTATCTAGGATCTATTCAGCTACTTCTTGGTGGCACACCCCAACCTCCCTCTGGGGTCCACCTCCTTCCCCACTCTCAGCCTGCAGGTTGACAACTCCATAGCACAGATAGGGAATGTATGATTTTAGGACTACACTAATAGAACGGCTCTCTGCCCTTGGTGAGTGTGCAGTTAATACTTGTTCTCTCAACTAATACCTGAATATACTTAGGTGATTTGCTTTAGTATTAACCACGAGACATTCCTGGAGCTTTGTGTAGGGAAGGAACAGGGATTCTAAGGAGAAGGAGCTTTAATACTGGACAAGGATGGCACTATTTACATACTATTTACCTAAATATGCAAATTGGTGACGTGATCATGGAGATTCTTTCATAAGGAAATTGATCTGAAATAGGTCAGAGCAAAGTCCAATATCTATTCTAGGCCAGTTTCTGTTAGATATTATACCATGAAGCCATTCCACCAAGATTCCCTTTAATCATTTTCCTTCTGGAAAGAGAAATCCCACCATTGCTCAGAACCTATGGAGTATCAGCATCATGCTGGGCACACAGGGGTAGAGAAGTCACACTTCTCTAGTCAGCACCCCCCTCATGGTTTCCACATCACAGGACAGCCGCGAATAGCGCCCATACCTGAAAACATCATCATGTGCTGGAAGTTCCAGGGGATCTTCTGTTTTCGGCCCAGATTCAGGAGGAAGGAGAGGGGATATATGTTGCAGGCTCTGGCAATAAAAATTGCTAGCTGTAGATAAGCACAGGAAAACGTTGAGGAAAATATTGTTGCAATGAAGGTGTGAGTCCTTGAGCTTTAAATGTTATGGCCTTAAGCTTCTCTATACTATGATTCAGAAAATAGGGGTAAATATGTCAATACAAGACTGACAACTTGCTTCCAAAATTCATGTTTCAGTGTTCATTCTTTTCCAGAAATAATAGAGAATTTGGCCTCTCTTTGAATATATATTTGGTTTAAAATTGCTAACCCAATACCATTTCAATCACTGTAAAGTTTCTCATCACATTTTGGTTGCTGATGACTGACTCTAGGCTCAATTCTGCTGCCGAGTGTGAGGCAGAGACCGTTCAGAGGCTGTGGCAGTATCTTCTGAAGCAGCCACTTTAGAAGGATAAATGTACTTCTGTTCATGATTACCATCTTATTTCCTATCAGTTTATATTCCCTATATCTAGCAAGCTTCGCTTATTTTTTCTTTCAGTGGATTTAATTTTGAGAGGAATTGCCTGTCTAAATGTATCATAAAACTGCTGCTTTAAAGGCATTTTACTAAGATCCAAGCTTTAGAGGTTAAAATCTGTGAAAATATCACTGGTAGTCATCTCTCCTCTTATGTTGTTTTAGACTCATTCCCTAATGGTCCATCTATTCTAGTTTGCTCTCAGATGGGATGGAGGGAGATTCCTGCTAAGATCCAGGTTTTGGATGAAGTTAAGGAGTTCAGGCTGAATGCTTACTGAAGAAAGGACAGGAGGTGAATGCAGGTGCTCAGCTGGAATGGGGCAGACAGAGGTCGGCTCTCCAGGCAATTAATATCCTCTGCCTGTGATCTGAGGGGGTAACTGCCCATTTCCCAAGTGGCAAAAAGGACAACAGCTGCTGACTGTCCTTGGGGACATCCTTGGTAGCTCGGCATCCTTTCCAGCAGCCGTTCATTCCCATGGGACATGCCTCCGCCCAGGGCCTCGAGCTAGAAATGTCCTCTGCCTTGAAAGTGAGGTCTAGATCTTATCTGTTATTTTACTTCTAGGAAAAGGGCTAGTTTCTTGAAATAAACTTACATGTATTCAATGATTAAGATACTGAAAGCATATCGATGATGCTAATTTCATTTGATCTTTTACTCTGTGTACCCTGTTTTCAAAGTCCTTACTGTAAAAAAAGATTTTACTATCTTGCAATGAAAATATTTCTAAAGCTTAATAATTCTGGCTGTCTTTTGATATACTCTAATGCAGGTTAAATATATTTCTCTATGAAGAATGGATTGACATAATTTTAATGTGAATCATAATTTTAAACATATGTTGAATATTCAAAAAATGTCACTCTCCTTTAGTTTTCTCCCTTTACTTCCTTCAGTAATTCCCCAAATTCTTATCCTGAACCAGAAGCATTTATTAAAGGTCCCAATGTGTTAGAATGCTTTTCTTTCTAACCAGAAATTACATATTAACCTTGAATTTGAAACTTGCAGTAAACCTGAGGAAATTAACAATGGAATGGAATAATAGTAAAAGAGTTTGTTTCCTCCCCTCATTACCCCATGTTCTGTATTTCAAAGGATACAAAGGCTCCAAGTATAAAAAGAGCATTAAAGATATGATTCTGGAATGTGAAGAGTGCCAGGCCCATATAACAGAAGATGACATTCTCAGCCAAGAAGTTCATAAATTCAAACAACTGAAAATAAAACAGAAACCAAAAATCATTAATTATGTCTCAGGTTTGAGCCACCTTAATATCCTGTCAGGTGACTGGATGGTTCTCCTTTACCTAGGAAGGCCATCTCTTCAGCCTTGTGCTCAGCTTCTGGACAGGTACTGGGGCCACTCCCCATCCCGTCAGGGCCTCTGACTCAACCCAGTGACAGATACGGTAGCCATGTCAACATCCAATCGTCCTTTACAATGACAAGGCTGCCAGAGATGCCCCTGGGTAATATTAACCAGCATGATCCCCCATGGAACAATTCCCACTAGGATGACAGAATATTCCCTGTTACAGAAACTGGGGAACAACATGATTTGATTGAGGTGTCCTGCAGAAAATGATGCAATGATTATATAATCCCTCCTGCACACATCCTGTAACTGCACTTCAGTTCCCAGGCTCCAAAGAACTAATTCAAAAGAAGCTTTAGCTAAATTACCTTCCTCTGGCAGATGGAAGGGACAAACTTGGAAACCTTGGAAACTTGTCATAAGGATGAATGTCGATTGTATTTCAACATTAGAATGATCAGTATATATCAAAGCCCAGACAATGAAACTCATTAAAATTGACTGATGTAGGTATATCCATTAAATGTCTACAATTTCTAACTGGTAAGAAGAGAATGATTAATCCCCGGGATCAGTTTATGCAGGAAGAACACAATAGATACATCAAATTCAGTCAGAGGAATGGAGTAATAACAGGCTATGCTGAGGGACGCTCCCAAGAGCTATTCTTAGCCTATTAACCAAACAATTTAAGTTGAGCATGAAAAACATTCTCCAACTTCCAGATTGGAAGTAAAAGGGAAATGCACCCAGAGGCTACAAGAAGGGCAGATTTGGAAGAGACTTTGGTTTATGTTTCAGACTTTTCATTTGGAAGTTTCTGAAACTTCATTCTTAGGTCTACATAAATCATCATGTTAGGTAAATGTCTCTGGAGGCATTTCTCTCGCTTTTTTAAGGATTTATTATTTTTTCATGTAATAATGTATTTACAGCCCCACAAAAAATGCCCAATACCTGTTTACTGAGAGTTGCCAGAAAGAAAAGCAGACTCTTGTCAGAAACATTATTTAAAACCAGTAGTAGCAAAAAAGGATTAAAAAGACACAACTCCTTTGGCACAAGATGGTCTTTCTGCAGTGGCAGCGATCATCCTCTACCCTGAGGGCTAGTTTTACATGCTAGGCCAGTTCATCTGAACAAATACTGCCATCCAAATATCCACAAAACACTTGAAAACATGGGGAAAATACAGGTAATGGGGAATACTTTTCTACCTCGTTGTATCTTTGCTTTTTCAAAAAGTTAGGTTTGGCTACTGTCTTAATAACTTGCTTTGGCTGCCATAACAAAATACTATAAAATACTATAGGTTGCCTTAACAAAATACTACAGATGGCCGAAACAAAAGAAACCCTCATAGTTTTGGAGGTTGAGAAGTCCAAGATCAAGGTACTGGTAGATTAAGGTCTGGAGAAGACCCTCTTCCTGGTTTGCAAACAGCAGCTGACTTGCTGTATCCTCACAAGGCAGAGAGGGAGGTTTTCTCTCTCGTGTCTCCTCTTATAAAGGTGCCACTTTCATGACCTAATTAACTTCCCAAAGCCCCACATCCAAATACCATCACCCTGGGGGTTAGGACTTCAATACAGGAATTTTGGGGGTGGTGCACATTCAGTCCATAGCAGCTGTCCAGTTTTTAACATTAATAAACACATATCAAGGTTAAACTCATAGGACTTCTTCTCCTATCCCAATCCCAAGAGTATTTTCCTCTAGAGGGGGTCTTTGCTATCTAGGATCTATTCAGCTACTTCTTGGTGGCACACCCCAACCTCCCTCTGGGGTCCACCTCCTTCCCCACTCTCAGCCTGCAGGTTGACAACTCCATAGCACAGATAGGGAATGTATGATTTTAGGACTACACTACATAAATCAATGCATTTCTCTAGCCTATGTGTTTGATTCAGAATGGGTAGGACACACTCAGAATGAAAGAAACACAATGAGACCTTTACAGGGAATGCCGTGACAAAGACCCCCTTTTCACTGTATGAGAAATCAGTAGGATGCAGCCTAGGGAGCTGCTACTAGCTATCTTGTAATCACAGGGGAAATAGCTGTCTTGAGAGAGAAGCCATGTCCTGATGACACTATATAATCTTTTATATTCAGCCTCCTCCAAAGCAAAATCTACCCTGAGACTTTCTGAATTAAAGAGACCAAGAAGTCATTTTATGATTTCTGGTTGGGTTTCTGTCACCTAAGATGATACATACTCCTTAACAGTCCTGCACTTTAACAGAACACAACAAAACCCTTCTCTGTCACAATATAGATTATAAGAATATGTGATTAACTTTTTAACTTTTTTAGATAATAACAAAGTCCATTATGCCTGTCCACCACCACCAAATTTTAATCTATTCCTCACCTTAAAGAAAGAAGAAAAGTACATGGGAAAAGTCAAGCTTTTTTCTCTGGATGGTTGAGATGTGATGGGAATTTGTTCTATAAATTTTACAGGGGGACCCATGGGATTAAATATTTGTTCTAGAGATTTGTTTCCTTTGGATAACTCAGAGCTTTAACTTTACGTAGTCACTCAATTAATTGACGTCTAACACTGAACAAAATTACAAGTAACTGTTTGCATACACACTGCACAGTTAGGTCCATTTCTGGGGTTTATTCCTATTGTTACTGGTCCTAATCAAATACCATGTATGCTCTTTTTAATTATTGTAGATTCATAATACATTGTAATATTTCATAGATCTCAAGTGGTCCATTTTTCCTGGGAAATTTCCTGGTTATGTTTGCATGTTTCAAAAAATGTTTTTATTGATGTTTATCACTCAGGAAAGTGTATAAGTCATATGTTTACAATTTAAGATTCAAAAAGAATATTTACAGCACCCAGAATTACTCTTGTTCCCCTCCCCAGTTATACCTCCACACCCCAATGCGACTATTAGCACTTCTAGCATCACAAATTAGCTTTCCTTGTTGCTCAGTTATACATGAATGGAATCAGACAATATGCACCTTTGTATTTGTCATTTTACTCAACATTGTGAGATTCCTCATGTTGTTCTATGTAGAAGTAGTTCATTTTTTTTAGTATACGAGTATTTCACTATTTATTTATTCTACTTGATTCCGGTTGTTTCCAGTTGGGCTTTGATGAATTCTGCTGCTATAAACATACGCTTGCATTTCTGTAAAACTATTGGGATGTAGTGCCAAGCAGTTTTCCATTCTGGTGGTTCCAATTTGCACTCCTACCAGCATTTCTAATTGATCCACATTCTGCCCACTTGGTTTTGTTGCTTTTTTCTGAATTCACACTTTTGCCTCTTGACATTGTCTTTTGAACGTAGGAATCAGCTTGTCCATTTCCATGGAAATATTAGTTGGAATTTGACATTTTAGTTGAAACTGCATTAAATTTATAAGTAAATTTGGATAGAATGTACATCTTTGCAGTGTTGAAGCTTTGAATCCATGAACATCATATATTCTTATAAATATTTTGGTTTTCTTTGATTTCTCTCAGTAATTTTTGTATAAAGATTTGGCATATCTTTGGTTAGACTTTTTCCTAAATCTTTGATGTTTTTTGTTGTTATTGTAAATGGCACCCTTTTCAAAGTTCATTTTCTAATTCTTTGTTACTGAATACATATATATGTAAAATTGATTTTTAAAATTAATCTTATATTCGAGGACTTACTAAATTTATTTAATAATTCTTATAGCTTATGGTAGATTCTTTGGATTTTCACAATCACGTTGTTTTCAAATAAGGATAGTTTTGTGTTTTTCCTTTCCAGTTGTTATGCATTTTGCATCTTTTTGTCTTGTCTTGTTACCCTTGTTAGGATCTCTGTCACAATGCAGAATGGAAGTGGTGAAGAGGCATCTTATTCCCAATCTCAAAGGAAAAACTCAGTTTTTCTCTACTAAATTCAAAGAAAGTCTTTAACAGATTAAAGAAGTTGTTTTCTAATTAATCAAATATTATTCTTAAGATACTTTTTCTTTAATTCTGTTAATGTAGTTAATTACATTAATTGATTTCCAAATGCTAAAAAAGCCCTGTGTTCCTGCAGTAAACCCTACTTGGTCATGATGTACTATCCTTGTTTTTATATACTACTGGATTTAATTTGCTAATATTGTGCTTAGGATTTTTGTGTCTGTATCACAGAAGACTGGCTTATAAATCTTTCTTGTTCAGTCTTTACTAGGTTGTACTGCTAAAGGTGCTGAAGTTTCACGAAACAAGTTCCTACTATTTTATTTAAATGCTTAGAAGAATTCTGGGCTTAGATTTTCTTTGTAGGAAAAATTTAAGCTACAGATACAATTATTCTAAAAGATACAGGATTAGTCAGATATTCTATTTATTTCTGTATTAGTTTTGATTAATCAAGTTTGTTGTTTTATCTAAATTTTCATGTTTACTGGCACAGAATTGTTCATAACATCAGTATCTTAGTGTCTTTCCCCCTAATATTGGTAATTTGTGTTTTTCTTCTGATAAATCTTGTTAGGAAATTATCAATTTGATGAGTGCTTCCAAGAACAACTTTGGCTATGTTGATTTTTCCATATTGTGTTTTCTCTCCCTATTTCATTAATTTCTCCATTATCTTCATTATTTCTTAGCTTGAACATATTTTAGTTGAATTTGTTTTTATTCAGTATCTTAGTCCTTCCAATACAGAGTGCTGTGTTGCTTGTCCATTCCTTTGACGACCTGCATTTTTGTATTTTATCAAGCTTTTCTAGCTGCTTTCTAAAGGAGAGTTATTCTGACATCAGCAATCCTTCATAGCTACTTCTTTTTGCATACTTCTTTTTCCAAGTGAAAAATCAATTTTTGTCAATTTCCCATCCAGGATTTTATGGTATTTTATTTTGTATTACACAGAATATGTATATCAATTTAGA